GACAGCTGTTTCGGATTTCATCACATCTCCTCATCAGACTTGCCGTGGCAGGAATCGAACCAATTCATTAAATGGCTGTTAAGTCAGGATCCGTTGGTTCGATCTCTGCCATAAGAAGTCTGATGAGGAGAAGTGGTAATCTCCGAAAAAGCTGTCACTTCTACCATTTTTCTTTACTGTAATATTTAATTCATACAAACAAACCAGGCCTTTTGTTTACTTAAGGGATTACAAAGGTCTTGAAGGCCAAGAAAAATGCGTATTTTCTCTATTTTTTTTAAAAGATACTAAGTAAAATATACAATTTATTTATTTTGTTTTATATAATATGAATTTGAATGAAAAATTGTATAAGTTAAGGCGTTAACGTAATAACTTTTTTAATTTCAATCTGAAACCAAAAATCAAAATTTTTCTTTAAAGTAGGTGAATTTTCCTTGTCCCTGAATGAAGAAAAATTAAAAAAAAGTAAAAATTTAATTTTTTGTAGCGTTTTTTACAAAAAACGTCGGCTTGTAAAACGAGTTGAAATCAAAGATAAAATAAATGCTTCGTTCGGGGACTACAAAAACATGCTTAAAATAAGTGTGGGAAATTTGAACTCGATCGCTTCAACAGTCGTTGAGAAATTTTGACTACCGATTTCGATTAAGTGGTTTTAAGAAAAACGCATTTAAAGTTTCGCCATCGGTCAAGCCATGACAAAATTAAAAAAAAATGAGTTTTTTGAAGTTTACAGACCCCTTAATACTTATAACAAAAATTATTACGGCATTCAAAAAAATTATGAGTTTATAAGTTGAATCAAATTATTTTATTTTTCTTCGTTTAAGTTCTAGTTTGTGATATTAAATAAAATATGTTATGAATATAATCTTTTGAAGATTTCTAAAATATGTCTTCAAGACTATTTGATGTGAATAAAATATTTTATTACTAGTACAGCGTCCGCCACATAACTTTTTTTTTTAAATGCAATAAAACAAATACCCATTCGGCAAAGGCAAACCGCATCGGATGGTCTCGTGGCTTCAATTCTTGAACCAATTGAACTTTGTACGGTGTCATACCAAGGTCTTTTTTCAAAATTCGCCTAAGGGACGTCTCGGAAATGTCCATTTGCTGTGAGCGACGCTTCACTGATGTTCCGGGCGCCTCACGCACACTCTCGGCCACAGCAGCGTTGGTTTATCAATAATTGTGCCGGTTTCTCTCAATTTTTTCAAAAGAAAGCGCACATACGGAGCGGAGGCGTACCGCAGGGATCGGTACTGGGCCCGTTATTGTGGAATGTGCTATATGATGGGGTGTTACGCCTACCGCTACCAAAGGAAGTTCATATAATTGGCTACGCGGACGACATCGCTGTGGCGATTGTTGAGAAAGAGCTTACTCAAATTCAGAGCACATGCAATGAGGCCATAGAAAAAATTAAAGACTGGCTCACTACATCTAGGCTACAANTTTGGGAAACAAATGGAAAAGGAAATGAAAATGCAGCACAACAAAAACACCAAGAGCAGCAGCAGCAGTGATAATGTGAGTTGATGGCGTTCCACAAATGAAGTGGATGTCCGTTTATCAGCTTCGTGTTGGTTACTTCACTATCATAATGCTTCGTAATGTGACTGTTTGATGGCTAAAGAAGTTTTCTGTCATTGCGAGGAGCTTTTCAACCAGGGGTTTAATCAGGCTTCTTACTACAAAGAGAGCGTTTTTGAAATTACCCAGCAGAATTTGGTGAACGTAATTATAAACTACTCCAAGCATGCTCGGTATTTAAGATAATGGTGAAATCAAGAATGGTATAATTGGGAGCCCCCCCCAAAAAAAAAAAAAAAAAAAAAAAAAAAAATACGGAGCGGACGGTGCTTTATTACGGCTCATTTCCGTGCGTAATTTTCGCACACATTTTCAAAGTAAAACTGTACTATTTTAACGCGTTCCTCAATCGTATACACAACCATTTTCGTTCAGCGGAAGGATAAAACTAACTTTCTGTCAAATCAGATGTAACATCAGTGTTACCACACTCAAAATAACCACTAGTTCAAAAAAAAAATGTTAGATGGCGGACCCTGTACTGCACGGATTTTAATGATTTTCATACCTAATTGTGATGCAATTAAAACTTCGTTTAGCTTAGGTCATGTCATAAAGAATTATATGATTTCAGATGTTATCATGTACATATGGAGAGTTTTTGAAAATAATGAGCGGTTTTATTTTTATAAATTTTTTATTTATTAATGTTGAGGTGTTTTCTCAACATACTTGCAGGCCTGTTCTCACTGTTACCTGTAAAGCACCCGAAATTGAATTTGGTATTCTGGCGAACTGGCATTTTTCATCCTTGTCAAATTTCATTTGCTAGTTGATAGGGTAAAAAGAAAAATATTCACATCGAAATGGAAGACGGTGCGCAAAAAAATTAAAAAGTTTTATTAATTTATTTATTAAATCATAAATACTTGAACCTTATTATGGAAAATATGCCTGGACAACAAAAAAAGCTGAATGAAAACGTTATCTTACAAATAAAAGGGCTATTTTTTTAGTCTTGAAAACTTCTTAAAATACGGCTTTGCAATTTTTTCCTCAACTTCAATGAATCCCAGGATTAAAATATGCCTACCCATTTTGGTTTTTATTTTTTCTGAAACTAGCAACACAAATTCAAATAGCAGATATTTTGGTTACCTCCTATTTCGCTGGTAACAAAATTTACAGGGTAACAGCGAGCTCAGAATACGAAATGGTAACAAAATTTACTGAATGGTAAATTTTAACACCTAGGTAAATTTTGTTACCTCGACAGAATAGGCCTGTTAAGCGATTATTATGCTATGGTAAATACTGGATTACATTTAATCAACCTTCATTTAATTCGTAAATTCTCGGGTATTTTCCAAATACTCGTAACAATGGTAATAGTGGTTGACACAAGACGTTGAGTAGAGACGAGAAGTGGCATAAAAGTTGTCTTTATGGTTGTGGAAACGCTTCTTTGGAAGAGTTACTAGATTTTTGTCGCTAATAGCCTAACTTTTGTCCTCTAACAAACCATTTTATTGGACTTCGAGCACAATTTAGGTGAGATTCCATTTTATCGATCTTAACACAGGTAAACCTCAGGAAGAGTTAAATTATCACCCTTTATAGGTGTAAAAATCTCGAAATTTGCCGGTGGGTTATACGGAGATTTTATCAGTTTTTCTTTTGGTTCCGGGGAAATAGAAATAGTGGACCAGAGACCAATCTATACGAAAAAAAATATTTATGGCGCGATTCTCTTAAAATTTGGTAAAAAGGTAATTTTTGAATAGATTACCAAGGAGGCTACTCTTCTCTATAGGGAGTGAACCGGGGACCGCAATTATTAATAAATGACCATTAATAAATCACAAAATCAAAAATTTATAAAATATGTGTTTCCTAAGTCGACCTGTATTTTCACATGGACATTTTATGTGTCAGTAAGTAGGGTGAGAAAATTTGGTGGTCACGGAAAGTTGCTTAATGATGATAGTGTTTCCTCAAAAATACAGTTTACCATGAAATTTTAGACCATGTATAATTAAAAAAGTTCATAACTTCCACAATGTAGGGTAAATGGGCTCACCGAACGATTAATTTTTTTAACTTCACGCGCAATTTTTTTTTATACTGAAACCAATTTGGTAATGAACGGACAAAAAAATCTGGTAAGCGGGCATTTAACTTTAGTAAATTTTATTTAATATATGCATATTTTCTTACTTTTCAACAAAAAAATAAACAATTATTGTCTGACGAGCTCCGAGTTATCGCTGCGGTTCGATCGATGATTGCCGTCGTCCTTCTCAATAAATGACGAAAAATTAGTTAGAGTTCCTTTTCAATTTATTGCTAACGTCCATTTTCGTACGGGTTCCAAAGGCAGTGGAACAGGATCTCAAAACTACACTTCCATAGAGAGAGTAGATCCTCGATAGTTTTAAATAAGACTTGAATAAGTACCTCACCACGACCTTCTAGAAAAGGAAGTAGATCATCACCGTTTCTAAATATCTGATTTAATTTACAATAGGAGAGGGATTATTTCCTCATCTTCATCATCATCATGGTTTTTTCTCACATCTAATGTTATTTGAGTATTTTTTTTTTTTTGATAATTTTTATAGGTCGTATCTTATTTGAAAGTTTACATACAACTATGTTTTCTTTTTCCCGTAAAAAATACAATTTTTCATTCTAAAGACCTTAGTTAGAATACTTAAGGGTTCAGTAAATATGACCATACTGATTCTTTTGATTAGGAACTCATTTTCCCGCCAACTTATGTGTTATTTATTTTAATAAAAATTATGTATAAAAAAGGGGGCTGTCCGGGAGCTCTCAAGACGAATTGGAACTTGAAAGGCCTTTCATCAGTTATTGAGTCCTGTTCCGACCAACACCAAAAATATATTATAAAGAATTAATTTATATAAAAAATATGTAAAATTTTCTACCTGCGGTTGACCCTCGGCAGGAAATTTCAGAGTGAATTTCTGACGGCCGTTCGGAGGTGTCTTATTATAAGCTGTAGGTCCTAGGTTAGTAAAACATCAAGACGCATACTGCAAATTGTAGGACAAGCTCGGCTGAAAATCGTAACTTTTGGATGTTGGTGGCACTGGGTAATGAACGCGGTCCTTCCGAATGTCAGTACGCAATGCTAACCACTCGGCTAGCGCACTCTCTCTTCTGGGTAACCTTTCCGTGGAGCTCTGTATGCAAATAGGATGAGGCTTGAGTTAATTGTGTGACTCACGAAATGTTTCCAAACAAATGCTGGTTATGCTGAAAAAGTATTTGAAAATTTTTAAATTTAACCTTAAGTTGAAATGTGACACTTTCAATTAAAATTATTTTTTTAACTTTAATTTTTGTCTTAAGTGAGGAGTATCCTCATTATCTTTATTTGCACAAACTTAGTATTTATTGATTTCAATGTTTTTCGTTTATTTATTACAAAGATGTGCCTCTTCCACCCGCTCACAAACTCACCATGGATGAAGTTTATGACACCAAAACTGGTAAGCCCGACTATGAAGCAATGCGAGCACATTTTTTGTTAGAAGGACGCATGGAAGAGGGCCCTGCGCTGCGTATCATCAACGAAGGTGCTGCCCTATTACGCGCGGAGAAGAATATGATCGACGTGGAAGCTCCGGTGACTGTTTGTGGTGACATACATGGTCAGTTCTTTGATCTCGTAAAACTCTTCGAAGTTGGTGGTCCACCAGCGTCAACGAGATATCTCTTTCTGGGTGACTATGTTGACAGAGGATATTTCAGTATTGAGGTTTGTTCCGATTGGTGGCATATGTATGTACATAGATACATGCATACAAGTACGTGTACTTTGTAAAAATGTTTTCTAAAATCGTTACAAAAAATTATAGGAACGTTTATTTTCAAAGATTTTTTAATGTCTGCATGCATATGCTTTCTTCACAGTGCGTGCTTTATTTATGGGCATTGAAAATTTGCCATCCGACGACACTCTTTCTGTTGCGAGGCAATCATGAATGCCGTCACCTCACCGAATATTTCACATTCAAGCAGGAATGTATGTACGAGCAATATTTATGCCTATAATAATAATTTGTTGTTATTCACTAATCTTTTCTGTTATAAATTGAAGGCAAAATTAAATACTCTGAAGATGTTTATGATGCCTGTATGGAAGCCTTTGATTGTTTGCCTTTAGCCGCGCTGTTAAATCAACAGTTCCTTTGTATACACGGTGGACTTTCGCCAGAAATTTTCACTTTAGACGATATTAAAAAGGTAATTCAAATATATTATTTTAACGATTCTTCAACAACAAACAAATATTTTTATAAATAAGCAAAATGAATATAAGAACGTTGGGTAATTTGGTATTGTATTTATTTTTTGGCAAGAAATTCTGTAATTTTTTCTAAACGGATATAATGCATGCATACGAGTATATGTACATACATATGTATTTACATATGTCCATATATATGTACTATATGTAGGCATTTGGTATTAAAATGACAACCATTCGCTGCTTCATATTATGATTTATGCAAATTGTCTGAAAATTAAAGGTCATAAAAAATTTAGAAAATTTAAAAAATTAAATAATTCTTTTAAAATATTTATAAATTTCTTATTATGACTGACACTCGTGTCAACAGAGAACTGCCTGTAGAAGGTGGTGCCTGCAATTATTATTATATCCATTGGTTTGGGACAATTGTGAATTTGCGCAGAATTTTTTGAGATTTTGTTGAAATACTACTATTTACTCAAGTACTTGAACTGAAAGTCTATTAACTTCGAGTAATCGAGGTCAAAAATTATAAAATTGATCGTTGATATACGTAGCCTTTGGTTTCGACGTCTTAACCATATACCCAAGTTTCGTCACCAGTTTTGATCATGGATTGTCGTTGACGTCATTCCGTTATTTAATAAGTCCTGAGCGATAATAACACTAAGTTGCTTTAGCTCAAAATTTATGAATTTCGTAATTGAAACACCAAGACGGTCGTCGTTATCAATATCCTCTGGACCTTTTATAATGTGCATGCACTACATATTAACACTTTTTTGTCATAAAGTGAACTTCTCGAAAGTCAACATTTAAATTGCCTTGGTGCACTTCATTCGATTTTTAAAGTACAATTTAATATATATTCTGTGATCCATTTTTTTTTTTCAAAGTTGAAAATCGAAAAGCATGCAAAAACGCGACTCACCTTTTTATTTGTCAAATTGGCTGATAATGCCAACATATGATAAACACATGTGTACAAACATATTTACACAGACCGAAAAAGTTTAAAATTCACCTTTTCTTTTGAACAGACCTCGTAGATCACCTTACCATTACACTAATCAACTTTACTTAGGCATATAATAAAGTAATTTTAAATCATAGTTCGCATTTCGGTGTTGATTGTGTCAGGTTGCCCACATTCCGTCAAAAGTTTTATCCATTAAGATTTTTAAATTAATTAAAAATATTTATTTTATGCTCTACATCGCCCGAAGTTAAACTATGTTATTTCAATAAAGGTAATACATATTAATGATAGTTAAAATCATATATGCATCATTCATAAAATAAAGTGCATAAAACTTAGCAGCTTAAAACCGATATACATATGTATTTGTATGTACCCTCTAGGGAGTAGGTAGCTCTCATTGCAACAATTCTAGTTAAATACCAGTGTTTTGAAAATGAAATCTTACCACTTGGTTATTTGCATAGCCACGGCTGAGTACCATTCTCTGTTCTTTTCTGTTGAAGTGGGCAACATAATGTAGAAACCTAAATTGTCATGATAGCCAACTGACTGACTGGGGCACACTTAGGAATATTTCGGTAGATTACACCTTTAAAAATAATATATTAAAATTTCAAATCAATATCTCAAATAGTTTTTGAGTTATAGCAATTTAAAGAGCAGCCGCTCGGCAGCTAGAGAGTCTCATTAGCTACGTGTGCAAAAGATCATTTTATCTTTAAACACGATTACTCAAAAACAAATGATCCGATCGCTATCGAATTTTTTACATGTTCTATATATAGTTTTCCGTACAAATGATCCGATCGCTATCGAATTTTTTACATGTTCTATATATAGTTTTCCGTACAATCGATTTTTGATCTAATTAAAAAATCGAATTTGGCAGGCCAAAAACGACCAAAATTTTGCGTAAAATTCGGCTATTTTTTTTAAAACGCCACCATATTGTCAATTTTTAATTTTTTTTATCGTAGGTCATTATGCAGACAATATTACCTAGTGAGAATTTTTTTTTAGATTTCATCCACGAAGAAGACCGGAATCAGTGCAGCAGTGAAGGACCTTTTTTTGCGTCATCGACTATAACTTAAAAAATATTTGATTTTTTTTTCTTCAATAATTTCACTGCATATTCTTGAAACATGTATAAATACATTCTTAATATTTTGAAATAATTGATAAAGTATTTTTTTAATAAAAATTCCCAAAATTCATCTTTTTTTCTAAGCCATTACAGTAGGTGCACCCCTCAAAGCACATCGCTGTAGAGCGTTAGGTTTCCGGTTCTAGTCGCAATAGAGGCAAATGAATTTTTAAAATTTTTTTTTTGTTGTTTTTAGTACACCGTGATTGAGTTTAATTTCTTCATAAGTTCTATTGAACTATGCAGATTTCGTTGCTCACTAAATCATAACGATAGCCTAGTTTTTAGAGATCATCACTGTGGTGCGTAAGGTTCGCGGTTCGATTCACGCAGCAAGCAAACTTCGTTATTTTGTTTGGTGAAGAAGAAATTCAACATGCCTATATGAATTGGTATACAACTAGTATGTTGTATAGTCGGCTCTCGGACATTACGGTGTTAAAAGTACCAGTTGCTTACATGGGAAAAAGTTAAAAGCAGAACTGGTTGGTGAAAATCCGCATACCAGTTGGATTATAGTTACTAATTGGTATTGTTACCCGATCATGCTAATAACGACATTTAAATGGTGTATAAAATAAATAATTTCTTTGGCTATGCCAGAATATTATTTATGTTATATAACTTATTGCAGTTGAAATTGTATTTCTATTCTAGCTGAATAGATTTAAAGAACCGCCTGCTTTTGGACCAATGTGCGATCTGCTTTGGTCTGATCCACTGGAAGATTTTGGTAATGAGAAAAACAGTGATTTCTTTTCCCATAACTCAGTGCGGGGATGTTCATACTTTTTCAGGTAAGTGTGTTTAAATCTAAAATCCAACACTTCAAAAGCTAATATTACATACTCTTATTATAATTTTAATACTTATCAGAGGTAACATGTAGTTGTTTACTTTCTTTCAGTTGAAATTAGATTTTTTTTATTTTCCAAAATTTTTGTTAATGCAGAATTTCTTCATTCATTAAAAAAAGTTAATTGTTTTAACTACATTTGCTTTACAGTTATGGTGCCTGTTGTGAATTTCTACAAAAGAACAATTTACTATCAATAGTGCGCGCACATGAAGCACAGGATGCCGGGTAATTAAATATAAAAATATATTTTAGTTTCATATTTTCATAAGTACATATTGTCGAATAATTTCGATGAGCCGAAGTAGATTTGATTGAAAATGAATATTCTATTATATATAGATAATTTATATAATTGAAGCTTTATAACCGCTGAAGCGATTTTCAGCCGAGCTCCAATGTATGGTTGATGTTTTGATGTTTTTCCAACAAATGGAGGGACCTACAGTTTATACTACGCCGTCTCCAAACGGCTGATGGTTTATGAGGAGCTTTATTTCAGTCAGAAATACACTCGGAGTGGTTGACATTCTCTGCCGAGGGGCGATCGAAATTAGAAAATTTAGCTTAATTTCGTTTTATTACTTTTCTAGAACTTTTTTGATGTTAGTCCGACGCCAGGATTTCAAACCGAGCCTTTCGAATGGCAGTACGCAATGCTAACCACTCGGCTACCGCGGACGATTTTGATTTATTCGTATTCGTTTGGGTATATTTCTGACAAAAACAGTAAACCGTTAATGTTAAGAGATAAAACACAGAAGTGCTTCTGTAGTTATATCTAAATCGTTTGCCAAAACCCTATAAAAGATAACTTTCTAACCTTTTATAGTAGGTAGATTTAATAGGTTTGGTCCTGCAGATATTCTGAAACCTGAATGTACTTATTTTATATCTAAGACTTTTTGCTATAATATTTCGAAAAGAATAAAAAAAAAATTCATGACAGTTATAAAATACCACATTTATTACTATAATTCTTTCAAATTACCAGATACCGTATGTACCGTAAAAATCAGGCGACCGGATTTCCTTCGCTAATCACCATTTTTTCAGCGCCTAATTATTTGGATGTCTACAACAACAAGGTATTTCCTTCATATGATGCTCAAAATTTAAATAAATATTTGAGATATTTTTATTTCACTTATGTAAATATATTATATTGTATATATACAGATGTATGTATATATGAATGTTATATTAAATATATGTATGTATGTATCTATATCATCGTGGCAATTATTGCATTTAAAATTTCTTATGCTCTTGGTTGAATTTCGGCGCTGCTGCACATCCAACGTACGTGTACAACAAAAATGTCACTTGACAAAAGGCAGCTGTACTGAAATATGAAAATAATGTTATGAATATTCGGCAATTTAATTGTTCGCCACATCCATATTGGTTGCCAAATTTCATGGACGTGTTCACGTGGTCATTGCCATTTGTGGGTGAGAAGGTAATTATTTCGCGCCCATAATTTTACGGCCAGATAATTATCAATTGTATAATGCATTTGGTTTGAAAATTCGGGTAATATATTATATTATATTATTCTAATAAAATCTTGATCATTCGCAGGTGACAGAAATGTTGATGAATATACTTAATATTTGCTCTGACGATGAGCTGGTGTGTGGCCCAGACGATGAATTGGAAGAAGGTAAACAAACTTTAAAAATATTTTATATTATAAATAAATTGAGGAACTTGAGAAGCCTAAAAAATTTGAGAAAATCTTTGAAAAGAGTTGATAGGAAAAAATAAGCATTAATTCTCATAAAATTACTTAAATTAAACCAAGCGGTTTCAGATGGGAAAAATTCAAGTGGCCCATACGAACGACAATAAAAAAAAAATTCAAGCAAATTGAATCAAAAATGAAATTATTAAGAACCAATTTCCGCTAGTTAAGCGAAACGATAAGCTATTAACTAATTAAATTTCAAGTGCATCGAATCGGAACTAAGATTATCGCCCATGAATCGGTGCTCGAGAAATTGAATTTTAATTCAGTCCAGTTCTCATTGAGCGAGATCGCATATGATTTTTTTTCTCGCTTGGATAAAATATATCTATTCTGCATAATGCTCAGCTTTTACGCATGGGAATATCTGCTCGTTGACCCTTGATCAACTTCCGAAAATTTGTATATATTAATTCAAACCATAGAAACGATTTTTTTTTCGAATAGATCGGTCCTAGGTACTGTTTCTGGAAACAAAAGTAATGTTCCTACATACGGCTGTGTGCCAATCGGTAATTTGACAGCCAACATTGAAATTCCGGACATTTTTGGTGGTGAGTACAAACGTCACTATTTTTATTTAAAACTTTGACGTTTGGATAAATTCAATAAATGAAGAGCATAATGTCACAACAATTACAACAACAAATGAATGCAGCCACATGTCATCCAATATAAAGATCAAATAACTTTATATTCGTGATGTTTTGTGAGAATTAATTGGACAATTTTTGTGAACGTGTGCAAGAGATTCTTAAATGTGTCCGAATTATCTATCCTTTCATCTTCGGACATAACTTTTTATATATGCAACTTTCTCACGAGTTTTTCATTTTTTTTACGTCAAAATATAATATATAATTTCATTTTGCTTAGTAAATTGTAAAATTTTTCCCACCACATTTTACCATATGAAAAAATATACCGCTTGGCACACAGCCTATGTATCAAATTTCTGGTAAATCGAACTGTAAATTCAAAATTTTCGAGTAGACCAGCGTCAGGTTCCCTTCTCGGTGTGAAAAACATATGCTATGTTATTCTCCGGCCCACTGAATATGCACACAAAATTTCTTTAAATTCGGTCAAGCCGTTTTGAAAAAGTATCGTGTCTAACACTTTGACACTGGATTTTGAGTATTAGATATTGTAATACTGAAGTTCGTCGTAATTGGTTTATATATGTACATATATGTATATTGGTATAAATACTCTTATCCAAATTCAAAAAAATGTCAAACATCATCCTTTTAACACGTTTTGTCATCAGAAGCCTAAACTGTAAACTTACAAACATATAACAAGACTTTTCCACGATACCCAAATTACGATGTTCGCTCTCTCAATCGTAAATCGCCCTTCAAATACATACTTAGTTCACCACAAAATTTTTCGATAGCGAATTACACTCAATTACCATGCGAACAACTTGCTGTCTTCTTTAATTATCATTGGCAATTTAACGAAATCAGCTGTCAAGAAAAAATTAAAACCCATAAAAATGCACTAAAACAGATTTGCACCGAGAGCGCGAAATTTTAACCTTTCGTTACTAATCCTAATCCTTTCGTATCTAATTCTTACTGATATTTCTCACCGAACAGATCTATTAAATTTTCATTGAATGCGTAGATTTAATTATTTTTTTAGATTCCACTTATGTACAGAACCAATTCGATTAAATCTTTAGTAAACTTTTACAAAATATTTTCACTTTCCCTTTTCTTTCAAACTAAAAAAAAAAAAAATTAATTGAACCAGCGTAACAGAGAAGTGTCAATTTGTCGAGCTTTTTAAATGGGGTAATACGCGACGGTAATTGTGAGGACGAACAATGTTTACCACAATGTCGTGAAAAAGCCGTATAAGATTATAAAAACCTTCGGTTTAGTGAATACAGGTCTGCAGATTTTTCTTCCGGTACACATTTTTTATCAACCTATCTAACAAACATGGTTTTACCGCATTTAACTTTTACTTTAGCCGACTCTATTTCAAAACCCAGATTTTCGAGAGACTAGCGTTTGTAAAAGTCGAACAATATTTTTATTTATTTTTTTTTTTGCATAAATAAGTAAAATAATGTTTTTATACAACATGTATAGGGATAAGACGAATGCTAAGTTCGGGAGGAATCAAGCATTAAATAGCTTACGCTTTCTGGTAAGGTAAATCTTAGTACATTCTCCATTATCACTTGATTTAAAGCGTCCCAAATGATGAGTTGTTGGATATAAATTTTCGAAATGCGGTTAAAATAATTAATCTGGGATATTAAAGATTACTTTTGGGAAGAGAAGTTTTTTATGCTCAAAAAACTTAGTTTCCAATAATCTAACAACACCTATTGAGTGTCAGGTGTACATTCAGTGCTCCACTTAGAGCATTGAAATTTAATTTCAAATTGGATATATATTAGTGCGGGCGAAGTTAATGTTATTTTCTGGGTATACGTGTGTCCCAAAAATATCTGAGCTTTTTGGATATAAAATAAAATACACATTATACTATTTTTGAAAGTTATTATTTATTCAAAATAGGCTCCATTTGACTCAACACAACATTTGGAACGATCAACCAGCGCATGCATAGACTTTTTTATGTCATTTATAGAAATGTTCTTCAGTACCTCGGTTACGGCTGCTTGAATGGCTGGGATATCATCATAAAATGCTCCCTTCAGCTTGGTTTTTAGTTTCGGAAATAAAAAATAGTCACATGGTGATAGATCAGGCGAATACGGAGGATGGTCGATGAGAGGAATCACTTTTTTCATTAAAAATTCGTGCGATTTTTTGGTCGTCATTTAATTCATGTGGAACAAATCGCGCACAGACCTTTATTTTCCCCAAATCTACAGTTAAAATTCTCCAAATAGTGTTTCGTAGCGTTTCTCGTAGTAAAATTTGCATCGATACCAATGATTTCACGGACTTTTTCCACCAGATCAGTACGATTACTAGTTTCAGGACGTCCTGCTCTAGGGTCGTCATTTAAATCCTCATGACCATTTTTAAATCGTGTAAACCACGTATAAACTTGCGTACGACTCATACAATCATCACAATAAACTTTTTTCATTAATTTTTTTTCAAGTTTGACACAAAATTTGATATTTGCTCTTTGTTCCATTTCATTTTTGAACCATTAGCACACTTTTGGTTTTATTAAAATGGCTGTCACTTTTACATCTGTCATCCGACTTACATAATGTTAGGTGCGTCTGAAAGAGGATGAATGTACCTTTTTAATGTTGCAAATTTTCAATAGATGGCGCTGTATTTTGTATGATTTAAATATAATGTTCGGTTATTTTTGGGACACACCGTGTATATCATTTAATTTAAAAAAAATCTGCTGTGATAAAGATAATTTACAAAATAAAAACATCAATAAAAGTGTGCTTAAAATGATGACTTAAGATAAATTAATACATAAATGGAACATAAAAAAAATATTCTGACATACATATAATATATGTATGTAGATATATGTACATACATATAATTTTTTAGTAGGCAACTCAAGTTTATACACTCAAATGATTTCTAAAATCTTTTATAGTATGTATGTAGAAATCGATGTTGTCCGCATATTGTGCATATGTTGTGGTAGTTGTACATACATAGTTGTGTGGCTATGAATTTTTAGTAGGAATTATGCATTTGAAAAATTGTACCGTAGTCATATTATCTAAATATAATAAATATCATTTCATTGGGAAACACTATGAATTTTTAATCCGAATTTTTTCCAAATTTCTCTTTTTAATTTATTAACTTCACATATTCATATACATATTGTATGTACATATGTATGTATATATATAATATATATATATATATATATTATATAATAATGATACATCGCTATATGTGGTGTACATGCATATTTATATTGATTTTAAACATATATATATATATATATACATACCCACACACATCACTGAAATCACAGAGCTCCGCAAGAAAATTGTGCTCTTACCAATGAACCCGAATCCACCGCAACCAGCCCCGAAACCAGGTAAGACATCAGATTCAACGAATCTTAGATATCTCTAAGTTTTTGCCTAAAATTAGTCACCATAGAACCAATGCGCTTTGGCTGAAAAAATGCAATGTGTGTATATGTTATTTGCTGTGATCGCGTTAGCTAGAGAGACATGACAAAATTAAGCTTTTTTGTATGGCTGAGGCGGCATTTGAATACAAATGTCTCCATAATGCCAAACTATGTATATACTGTTAGATGCTTGTGCCTGCTACTTACTGCAATTTACTTCGGAATTTTTATTCTTCGTCTCATTATGTATAAAGGTTTTATTTTCGAAATATCTTTAGCGATTACATGCTTTTAAAAATGATCCTATCAAGAGAAGTTCACTACAATAGTAAAAAAAAAAATATATATATATATTGTAAATATATACCAGAAATAAGTCAAAAACGCTGTGCTATGTTCTATGGAACCCGCTTATGTTATATTTTACGCTTATGGGTATACCCAGCTATACCTAAAAAAACCTCGTTAGTAGACGTGAAATTGTCTCAAAAAACATCTGTCGGAAAAAATTATCTCATAAACAAATTTGTTTTTCTTTTCAAAATAATTATGCGCTCGCATCTGGTGTATTTTTCAAGAAGAATTGAACACCTAATTTTTGAATGTTATATCTTCTTCTCACATAAAGTATATCGTTTCAAAAAAATCGTACCAAACCATCAAAGATCACAACCACTTTGTAATCCTCATATATTTTTAATTTATTCAGAGATGATTCAATAATTTCAAAAAAGCTTATAATCTCCTCCCAGGCATTCGACATTAAACGTGTTTCGTCTTATTCGTGCTACCCTATTCTCTTAAAAAAATCTCTTTTAAATAAAATATTTTGTACATATGTATGGACATATGTATTTATGTGGAGACTTTTAATATTTTTTAAACGTCAAAAAATCACGTTTTACATTATATAATACTTTCCGACCCTAATAGTGGACTGGAGCGAGTTTAAGCCTTTTATTAAGTTGTCAGAAAGTATCAAAAAGATGCTCTATAAGACAATGAAAGAAGAAATTTCCGAGAAAACGATAACGAGCCGCACGAAAAGCTGTGCAGTGTCAGAGGTAGTTTTCCACCAATGTCTTCTCATCTATGTCGTCTCTGCAGCTGCGTTAAAAGTCGTTTGGGAAGCAGCCCAGCCTTCTACCATGAATACCCATAAGACATGTCTGGTTATTAGACCGGTTGTTAGCGTTCCTCGCCAGATTTGTCTAGTCACATTGCACATGGTTTCACTCTGCTATCTGCTGACAGCTAGTCTAAACTGATATTATGAATGAAGCATGAAGCGTAGCGCTTATCATGCCCAGAGTTTATACTGTTCTGACTGCTCTCTTTCTGGTCAGCTCGTCGGCCACATAGTCGACCCAGAAGACCCTACCACCAGTGACCCAAGCCCATGGACGTTTTGCATACGTTGGAGAAAATCTAAATATGTAAATGTCAAAACAAATGAAAATATTTTAGCTTTTTCCAATTTATAGATAATAAAAAGCTTCTGCTTGGAATATAATCTCAAGAGTAATTAAAAAAATTTCCAAGTTGAATATCTAATGTTTGGCAAGATCGAAGAATTCTGAACTGAGACTACCTCATATAACTTTTGTATATTGTACAAACATATGTACGTATATTAAACTGTCATTTATGGGACGTGCCGTACAATCGCTGAAGCTAATAACGGAACGGTATTTCCCCACGCCTTTACTTCTAAGTAAGTTTGTAAAGATTCATTTGGACCTCCGGCATATAAACGCTTACGTAATTTATAGACGGTAACTTTTGTAGCTTAGGCGACGCGTATTACGCAATTCGCAACCGCTATGAGCGAATAATTAAACAAGCTCGTTTGGTCTTTTTTATAGTGCAGCGATTTCAATGAATTCAAATGAGTGCCAATGGAATTTTTTTTTTTGAAATAGAACATGAATAATTAATGTAATGTTTTTTGAAAAATAAAAATTTCTTAAATTATTTTCCGCAAAGGTTCAAAGCTTCTGAGTCCTACGTGTATGTGCAATAGTTTATTCGAAAGCTTTTTTCAGTGTAAAAAAAATACAAAAAATTGCTATCTAAAAATTTTCAATCGCCTATGATTCTTTACTTCTTTATTGGCATTGGTATCACTTATGCGATTCTAGCCGAATCAATCATCTCTTCTTTTCGCTACCAGGCGCCAGTTGGAAATACCATGTGAAGCCAGGTCACGCTCCACCTGATCCTTCCAACGGAGTAGAGGTCTTCCTCTTCCTTTGCATCCAACAGAGGGTACTGCATCGAATACTTTCGAAGCTTAAGTTCTTTCATCCTTTCGGACGACATGACCTAGCCAGCGCAGGCTCTGTCTCTTCATTCGCTGAACTATGTCAATATCATCGTATAGCTCCTTCAGGTCATCGTTCCATCATCTACGGTATTCGGACCGTAAATCGTTCGCAAAACTTTTCTCTCGAAGACACCTAGAGCCGACTCATCAGATGTTTTGAAAAGCAACATCGCCGCTGGTTTCTACGGGAGAAACGACAATAACGGCATCGGCAAGCGGTTACAACTTTTTATTTACATGGCGCTCTCATAAGATATGTTGTGACAGCTGCGTCGATATGTTTTCGGACAGTTGTAGAAGTGTTAAAATGAATCTGACCGCTATACGAATTATTTATAATTTTATTAGGAATCTGAATCGAATCCGATCGGAGCTCCATAATCATATTTCCATAATCACATTCTCGTTGAACGATTTCCTTTACTGTTTAATCAAATTTAACAAACTCACATTTGATCACTTCTTTTGTTGGTGGTTTATTCATATCAAAGTGCAGAGTTTTCCAATGAAAGGTGTTATTTTGAATAGCCTGCTATTCCGTCAGATGTCACTATTTGTAATTTTTTTTTTAAACTACACCAGTAAAAAAAATATAACGATTTACGCTCCGAGAACGCATTGAAATTATAAAAATTCACCGTAAGAATTTCATCGAAAAACCTTATTGACCGATGAGGCCCATTTCCAATTCGATGGCTACGTCAATATGTCGCATCTGTGGCTCGGAAAACCCATGAGTTATTGGTGAAAAGCCTCTCTATCCCCAATGTGTATCTGTTTGGTGCGGTTTATGGTCAGACCGCAGCATTGGACCTTATTTTTTCGAAATATATATCACAAGCAACAAAATCCTCGATCTTTTCGGGGAAAAAGTTTCTCTGAAAATCAAAATTTTGGTTTCATTGATAAAATTGTAATTCATTTGTCTCTTTCCTTGCCAATTGTTACTGAATGAAATTTTTTCAGCACAAATATGCAATTTTCTTGCATCACAATTTTAATAGCTTTATGTCTCAATGGAAGCAGCCCAGTGACAATTTAAAAGAAATTTCACCAATCATTACTGGCCAGCACCTCGCCGAAGGGAACTAACAACTGAACGTTGACACTTCAAATTGGATTTCCTTTTTGTTCGAATTCTCAAACACCTTTTTGATTCCAAAATATACTCAATTTTGCTATGAAGGTAGTAAGATTTAAATAAGTCTTCTGAGATACTGGAAATCTGACGGTTAATACTTATAAAGGCAGATATTAATTATTATAAAGTATGAAGTACGTATAAAAGTACTCAAAATTTGTTATAAGAATGTTTGAACACAACTGCTCGGCGCTTTGTAACCGCTGAAGCGATTTTCGGCCGAACTCCTCCTCCAATTCGTGGTTTTGCGTCTTCCTGTTTTTCCAACAAATGGAGAGACCTACAGTTTAAAATAAGCCGCCGCCGAACGGTTGATGGTTTTTTATGAGGAGCCTTTATTTCATGTCCGAAATACACTCGGTGTGGTGGACATTCCTTGCCGAGGGGCGACCGCAATTAAACTTAATTTATTATTTAAATTAATTTTCTATAACTTTTGGATTTTGGTCGCACGGGGATTTGAACCCGAGCCTTTCGAATGGCAGTACGCAATACTAACTACTCGGCTACCGCGGCCGCCTGTATTAACTCATATAAATAAGATATAATATAACATGAGTACATATAAAATGGTCTTAAAAATATTTAAAAGGTTTATTCAGCTGTCTTTATTTAGTACACGCGAATAAGAAATAAACTGAATACCAGACATTACACTTTTGTATTTTTCTTTTATAATTCCTTCACATGGCTGTGTATATTGCACATACATTTCATTTTAACACATTTTTCGAAACTCAGAAACTTGCATAAATGTGCTGAATTGCCTTGTCTTGGTTGTTTTGTTAATTCAATTATTGTATTATATATATTACTGTTTATTAATTAATTTCATATTTTTTTATTCATTTTATTCCATAGTTTCTGGAGTATCAGCTCTACGTAAGGAAATTATACGTAATAAGATCAGAGCTATTGGCAAAATGTCACGTGTATTTTCCGTGTTAAGGTAAGTGACATAATTGCACGAGTACGAGGTGTGTTCATAAAATATCACGAATTTTGTGTTTTTTCAAAAATTATTTATTTATTCATGAATATCTATTTTGTCCCCTTCAAAGTAATCCCCATGAGATATTATACACTTGTGCTAACGGTTTTTCAAATCTTCGAAGCACTTCAAAATATCATTTTTTTTATCTTGTTCAGCTCCTCCTTCGATGCTATCTTTATCTCGTCAATCGTAGCATAAGGTCGTCTTTTCATGGGCCTCTTCAGAGTTTGGGGGCCAGATCTGGGGAATACGGTGGCTGCGGCATCGTTACTGTGTTGTTTTTGGCCAAAAAGTCGCGCACAAGCAACGATGTGTGAGCAGGGGCGTTACCGTGGTGCAAAAGCCAATTTTTGTTCTTCCACTAAGCCGAGCGTTTTTGGCGGATTGCTTCGCGCAAATTGCGCATAACATGCAGGTAATATTCCTTATTGACCGTTCTACCCTGTGGCAAGAATTCATGATGCACCATGCCCCTGCAATTAATTTTTTCGTCTGTTGTTGAAGTTCTCGGGCGTCCGGCACGCTCTTCGTCGTTCACATCTTCACGGCCTTCTGAGAACATTTTGTACCACCCATAAACGTTTCTTCGGTCCAAGGTAGCTTCTCTGTATGCCACAGTCAACATTCGGAATGCATCCGCGCACTTAATTTCGTTTTCACACAAAATTTTGATACAGGTTCTTTGATCCATTTTTTTGAATAGGTAAAAATCGAGGACCACCCAAAACACGTGCAAGCAAAGCAGCTGTCAACAATTAAGTGAACATTCAAAATGGCCGAGCTTGTCGGCATAAGTGACAGAGATAAGTACCAACATAACGCCACAAAAAATCAAAATTCGCGATACTTTTTGAACATACCTCGTATGCACTCGTGCATATGTATATACTCCCGTTCAAACACATACAATAAAACATATAACCATAATTTTTTTTTACATTAAATACTATTTCTTTTTAATTATCGCCTTTTGCTTTTTTAGAGAGGAATCAGAATCAGTGCTGGCATTAAAGGGACTTACACCTACCGGTGCCTTACCAGTAGGTGCTTTGTCCGGCGGAAAGGATTCTCTGCGTAATGGTGAGTGCGTTAACACACGGTTTTCCATAAGCTGGAGTTGATGTCCTTTTTAGTCATACATACATCACAAACACAGAGTTTGCAATACAAAATTGTTACTTTTGAAATGTCTTAAGCAATACCTTGGCATCCGCAGGCTGGTTCTACATCGAAAACTTTCAAAGCTGGATTATTCTTATTCTTTAGGACCACATAACAGCGCAGCTGCAGTTTCTTGATTCCCAGAGCTATGCCAATGTCGCCGCATATCTCATACAGCTCATTAATCCATCTTCAGCGGTATTCGCGGTTTCCAACTCGTAGAGGCTCTTAAATTTTACGCAAAACCCTTCTGTCGAAAAAGCATGAGAAGCATGGAGAGTTCTGTGCTATATCGTAGGACGGGAACGATGAGTGACTTGAAGAGTTGGATTTTGGTAAGCCGAGAGAGGACTGCACCTATTGGCAAGAGTGATTCTGCGTTGGATTTCCAGGCTGACATTGCTGTTGGTGTTAATACAGGTTCTAAGATAGACGAAGATATCTACGACTTCCAAGTTATGACTGTCAACTATGAAGTTTGAGCTAAGACGCGAATGCGTTGGCTGTTCGTTTAATAACAAGAGATATTTCGTCTTGCCTTCGTTCACTACCAGACCCATATACTTCGCTTCCTTTTCCAGTCTGAAGAAGGCAGAATTCACGGCGTGGTTGTTCAGGCCAACCAATATCATCGGCATACGCCAGCAGCTGTACACTATTATAAAATATTGTACATTCTCTATTCAGCTCTGCGGCTCGGTTGAGGTCAGCTTACATAGCCGTGGTTATCAAATTCAGACAAAGCGGCGCAAAGGCAGCTCCAATTCGTGCTGTCGAGGACGGTTTAAAAATCGATGATCACTGGTCTTGTCCAAGATTTGTCGCATGGTGAATATCTGGTCAATGGTTGATATACCAGGTCTAAAGCCCCGCTGCTAAGGTCCAATCAGATTGTTGACAAGGGGCTTTAGTCTTTCACACAATACGCTTGATAGGACCTTATATGCGATACGGTAATTGACGAAGGCTGTGGGATCACGCTTTTTGTGGATTGGGCAGAGCACACTCAAACTCCAATCATCGGACATGCTTTCGTCCGATCAAATTCTGCAGAGTAACTGATGTATGCACCTTGTCAGCTCCTCACCACCATTTTTGAGTTAAATAGAAAACACAGTTTTAAGTTTTCCGATCAAAAAATTTTTATTGAATCATAAAGTATATAGCACAGGGTTCTTTTTATGGAATAACATATCGGACATATGGCTACATAGCTTACCATACACATACGAACTCTTTTTTCGATTTTTTATATGACTACTCTGTACAAATGTGGCCGAATTTCATTGGTGCAACGTTTAATATGCTCCTATACAACACCCGTGGTTATAGGCTTCTTGCGATAGACCTGAGTTCATAAATATTACCATAAAGATAAATCGAATGGTCTTAAGTTAGAGCGCCCCTAGATCGTCTGAATTCTGATCACTAAAGCTAGAGAGTACACGACCAGGGAATGTCTCATACATCTTGTTGAAACCATGAAATGAACTGGTGTCGTGATATCGAGCACCAGTAACTTCCACTACTTTTCCAGCATTGAATTGAGGTTCTTTTATCATCGAAACTCTCACCAACTATTTCGGTATAGTCATTTGAACGACTTGTTTTTGGACGACCAATGTGTTTGGCATATCCAACAGATCCTGTTCCCCTGAAAGTTACAACACTATTCCGACCATATTTTGTCGGACATTTGTGCTGAATAAAGAAGAAACAAACTTTTATCATTTAACGCTCTATTTTAATAAAGTCTATACAGTCAGTTGTAGATTTATGTTTTGTTAGGGTTGTCAACACTTTACTACATAAATGGTGGCAAACTAAAACATTGTGTAAATTTTGGGACACCTTGTATATATTCAATATTTTTTATGCATAAATTATTTAGGGAAATGGCAAATTTTGTTTTCAAATTCTTTACTTGCCTATAAACTGTGAGAGGAGAGCAGAAATTAACTTAAATTTTCAAAAGCAGGAATTTTCACTTTAATAGATTGGATGTTTTTTCTTCCTTTTTTTAATTTTTTAGCTTCTTATTTTAGCATTCTTTTTTTTTAGAAAATCTTTTGGCTGCTTTTAGCTTGTACGTCTGACCCATTTGGCAACTCTGGTATTTTCGAGATTGCTTAGACATTAACTCGTTTTGTTGCTTTAAAAGTGTAGAGTATTTAATTTTTTTCTTAAAAAAAGAAATCAATTAAATTTTTAATTTTCTGCTATCGACGCGATCAGTCATAAGCACACTGTTGCAAACAGTTGTTGAATTGGACTAAAAATTTTTCTTAAACTTACCTTTCAATCTAAACTTGACCTAATAACCTTAAACTCGAGATTATGGAACAACGTAAACGATATTTATAATATTATGTACTATTTATATTATATTCAAATACATTTTTTCATTATTTAGCGCTTCAAACATTGGGCGCCTCCCAGCAAATCACTTCGTTTGCAGAGGCAAAGGGCCTAGATGCTGTTAACGAGCGCATGCCACCGCGACGTCCATTAATGGTGGGTGGTGGCAATAGTAATGGTAATAGCGGCAGCAATACAACAGTTCACAACAACAATGGTACTAACAATACAATTAGTAGCACAAATAAAAAGATTGTGAAATCCACCACGGTGAGAACCACGACCACCACCACCACCTCAACTACCAACAAATTTTAATAGACTGTAGTTAATAACTAATTTTTTTACGTTGCCTTAGAATTTTTCAATATATGTATGTAAATGTTCATTTGAACTTTCAAATTAAATTTCATTAATTATAATTTGTTTGATTCAAAAAAAAAGTTAGACATGTTTTTTTTATGTACTCGTACATATTATTATATAACTTAGAAAGATTTTTACGCTATTTTTCTAAATTGTTTAGTTGTAGTACTAAAATATTTGATGGATTATAAGATATTTGAGAGATTACTTTGTTATTTGTTACATCGATTTATTGTAAATAAATATTGATTTAGAAGTTAAAAACAATAAAAACATTTTTCCGTTTTTTTTTTTATTTTTTTTTAAAGAAATTGTCTAATTCAGTTAAGTACTCTTTTAAACGACGCGCAATATACATACACGTAGGTACATAATCCAAGTAGAGGTACTTTTTTCAATAACCATGATATTTTTCATCATAGAAAGACTTACGCCTGAACAACGTTTTCCAATCGTTCAACTTCATTACGAAAACTCACGTCCGGTAGTGAATATATTTCGCGCGCTTCGCTCAACACCATCACCTATCTTGGGACCCAACCTTCATTATTGGTTAATATTCGACCGAATAGACCACGCCCAGTACGCTGTGAAGAAAATATAGTGGCCGTAGCTGACAATGGAGTATCGATTCGGCGTCATTCGCAACAACTCGGGCTGATGTATGAAACGACTTGACGCAAGTACTGAAGCCGCTCAATCTTCTCAATCGAGATCGCTTCGCTCTATGGGCTCTTGAAAAGTTCCAAGAGGAACTGTCGTTTTCAAGCCAAATATTGTTCAACGATGAGGCCCACATCTGGCTTAATGGGTGTGTAAACGAAATAAATTGCCGCAATTGGGACAATGAAAAGCCTGAAGAGATACAATAGCTGCCGTTTCATCAAGAAAGAACAACGGTCGCTCCGGTCAATAACCGACTATTTCATGTCTGAAATTGAAGCTCGTGGTCTCAGCGACATTTGGTTTCAACAAGACGGCGATACTTTTCAAAATCAATAGATTTATAGAGAGAACAGATAATTTCACGTTTTGAGCCGATCTGGTGGCCAATCGATCATATGATGACACACCGTTAGACTTTATCCTATAGGGATCTGTAATGTCTAAACCCTATGCGAACAATGCCGGTTCGATTCAGACCTAGTAGCAAAACATCACGCGTGTCATACGCCAGTTACCATTTCGATAGGCTCGTACGAGTCCACGAAAATCAGACTGAACGGATGGACCATCTGAGAGATAATCTTCAAAGCAATAAATGCCAAGGAATGTTCTTTCGGGTGGGAATAAACATTCCTAATTAAATTTGAATTTTCTGTGTTTTTTCTCTAAAAAAGTAGGAAACTTCGATGTTAAGATCAAGTCTTCTCTCAACCAAACCGTTTATGATGCATTATAAAAGAATGGTCAATATCGACATTCGATGAGTCGATCATGTTAGTCTCCGAAAGAAAAATGTTGCGAACAATTTATGATTTATATTTGCTGTTAACGCAGTCGATTGTGCGTGCGATGGGAATTGGAAAACCAATTTAAAATTTCCTGCAAAATAAGATATAATAAAAACTGACACTGAAAGCGGGTATTTTTTTCAATTCATGCTGAAAAAATGTTCATTCGGTTCAAAAGTGAATATTCATTAATTTTTTTCCTTACTAATTTTATGTTTTCTCGATTATTATTTTTCGTTATCAAATATTTTTATGCTCATACTGAATATTTACCACATATTTACGAGTACACACAAATACAAATATTTAATTTGTCAGACACATGTGTTCGTCAAAAGAAATAACAGGCATTAATCACTATCAGACAACAATTATAGTGTGCGCATTTTTAGATACACGGTGTGTCCCAAAAATAACCGAACATTATATTTAAATCATACAACATACAGCGCCATCTATTGAAAATTTGCAACATTAAAAAGATGCATTCATCCAATTTCAAACGCACCTAACATCATGTAAGTCGGATGACAGATGTAAAATTGACAGTCATTTCAATAAAACCAAAAGTGTGTCAAACTTAGAAAAAAAATTAATAAATAATTAATAAAAAAGTTTATTGTGATGATTGTATAAGTCGTACGCAAGTTTATAAGTGGTTTACACGATTTAAAAGTGACGACCCTAGAGCAGGTCCAGAAACGAGTAATCGTGCTGAACTGGTGGAAAAAGTCAAGGAAATCATTGGTCTCGATGCAAATTTTACTACGAAAATGTTGGCTGAGGAATTGAATACGAGTAAAAACACTATTTGGAGAATTTTAACTGAAGATTTGGGGAAAAGAAAGGTCTGTGCGCTATTTGTTCCACATGAATTAAATGACGACCAAAAAATCGCTCGAATTTTTAATGAAAAAAGGGATTTCCCTCATCGACCATCCTCCATATTTGCCTGATCTATCACCATGTGACTATTTTTTTATTTCCAAAACTGAAAACCAACATGAAGGGAGCATTTTATGATGATATCCCAGATATTCAAGCAGCCGTAACCGAGGTACTGAGGAACATTTCTATAAATGACATAAAAAAATCTATGCATGCGCTGGTTGATCGTTCCAAACGTTGTGTTGAGCCAAATGGAACCTATTCTGAATAAATAATAACTTTCAAATATAAAAGAATGTGTATTTTATTTTATATCCAAAAAGTTCGGTTATTTTTTGAACACACCGTGTATATTGTTTTTGCGTGGACTTGTTTTAAGCGAAAAAGTGAAAATATTTAATAACGAAATGGCCACGAAGTTTTATAAATAAATAATTTAAAATTCCATACCATACTTATATAACAAGTAAGAAATATTAAAGTACTTTCTTCTCTTCAAAATTAACCTCTTTACTAATGTAAATATGTGCTTCTCTGTAAATAGACGTAGGAAAAGCATCGAACCATTGTACTGTTCTACAAGTAGAAAAACTATCATCTGACCAAAAGACAGCTGTAATCATCTGATCGAAATACACCAGTTTTTTACCCAGGGATGTAATAAATATAACTGATATGAATAGTACTAAAATCTTTATATATTGAAAAATCGCCAAGCATTTTACTTTTTAATTTATAAAAAAAAATTTAAAAAAATATATAACAACTCACATGTCAAATATTTTTATTTTGTTATGCTTCTTTGTTATGTTGTACTGCTTTTCCATACCACTGTTGAAACACAATAAAGGCTCGTACCGATTTTTTTTGAGTGCTCGCAGTTAATAAAATAAATTTTATATAATTTTGGATATCGGTCGAACCAGTGCACGAATCCCTCCCTTCAGAATGGCAGACTGCAATGCTGACCACTCAGCTATTGCAGCCTTACAATTATTCCAAATATATTGCTTAATGCCCACCTGACTGTTCTCAAACTTCTGGGAAAGGAAATAGGACTGCAGCCTGCGGCACACCTTATGAATGGCATGTTGGATTCTGACAGCAAAAGAGGAATTTGAAATAACTATTGTAGTTACATATTGACCCTGGATGACCAAATAATAAAATTAGTTAAAATGCACTGAAATAGAAACTAATATTAATAATTTTAAATTGTATATTTTACTTTCCGCTATATTGTTGCGGATTTTATTGTAATCGAAGCGAGCAATGAGGTTCGAGTACAAATACCAGCTCACACTCGCGTACTCAACGGAAACACCGTAATGAGGGCGCCATCGTCTTGCCTTCGGTCTAAGCGAAAAATAAATGTAAGCTGCCCTGCAAATAACGTGACTACGCCATACATGCATGAAATATATACTACTCCACGTATACAATGAAGTCATCCAAAATTGACCACAGTACATACAAAAAATATAATCTAGTTAACATTGCGATGTCCCATTGCTGGGTAACTTTTGAAATCAATCAGAAAATTACTCCATGGAGTACCTATAGCTCGTTATATTATATTATGGAGTATATACGAAAAATAAAATTCAGATATAAATTTTGGTATCGAATATAGTTCGCTTTGATAAAAACATACATAAATTCGCCCGTACAAAAATGTTTTGAAAAATATTTTATGAGTTTAAACCGAAGCACGTCTTCTGTGTCCCAGCATCAAACGCTACCGAATCAATAACATTTTCTGTATACGAATAAAAGTCTTATTGCGCACTCGCATCTCTATTTAGAAATTGCAATCGTTAAAATACGAGCGATCATCGACTATCAACAGTGTGGTAGCGCAACGCTATATGGACCCAGTGGTTGATGACAAAGAGTGCATATTGGATTACTTCAATGGAAATTCAAATTTGTATGTTTTGATTGTTATCTTTCGCTTCATTATTATACTATTGCACATATGCATGTATGTATAAGCAAATAAATAAAACCAGACTCAAAGGCTGACTTATTTTCAATTTCTTTGCAATATTCGTTTGAACATTAATCTGCTTAGTACTAGTGGTATAAAAATAAAAATAAAAATAAAAATAGTAATAAATAATATTGTGTGCCGAGAATATAGTTTAATATTAATACAAGTGAATATGAAATAAGTGTATTTTTAAATATCAACATTCTCTCTTGGGGTGTAATGGGTTGTAGTTAAGCTTCTGGGTATGGTGTTACAGTTAAGAGGTTTTATTCAATTCCTACTCTGGTGTCCATGTCGTGCGAGCAACCCTTGTGCAATGAATGTCCGGTTCCTTAATTGGGAAAGTGCCGCTGTCCAGTTGGTTGATGCCCTCGTAAGAATAAAGGCTGGCATCACCGTCATCGAAGAAGTGCGATGAATGGAACAAAGACGAAAGTGAATAGATTCTTGTGAGTTTTACTACAGCGGCCATATACTCGTAAAGGAACGCAAATTTTGGATTTGTGGTGGGAGAGAGACTCCGTCGTCGAGTATACGGCTACTTGGCTGTCCCTGTTCGACTCCAGTGTTCTTGACGTGGGATAAGTGTTGACAGTCACAACTTTGAAATCGTAGATTATTTCGTCGATCTATGAACCTGCATCAACACCAATAAA